CTGTATATTCATTATGTATCTTGCAGCGTCACTGAATTCATGTATTTTTTCTAGCAGATCTTTGGTGGACTCTCTAGAGTTTTCTGTGTATAGTATCATGCCATCTGCTAATAGTGACAGTTTTACTTCTTCCTTACCAATATGGATGCCTTTTCATTTCTTATCTGATTGCTGTGGCTAGGACTTCCAGTAGTATGGTGAATAAAAGTGACAAGTGTCCTTGTTTTGTTCCTGATCTATGAAGAAAAGCTCTCAGGTTTTTGCCAAGTATGATGTTAGCTGTGGGTTTGTCATATGTGGCCTTGATTACGTTGAGATATGTTCCCTCTAAACTGACTTTGTTGAGAGTTTTTATCATGAATCAATGTTGAATTTTGTCAAATGCTTTTTCTGCATCTCTTGAGATAATCATATAATGTGGTGTATCATATTGATTTGTGGATATTGAACCATCCTTGCATGTATAGAATAAATCCCACTTGATCATGGTGAATGATCTTTTTAATGTATTGTTGAATGTGGTTTGCTTATATTTCCTTGAGGATTTTTGCATCTATGTTCATTAGAGATATTGGCCTGTAGTTCTTTCTTTCCCTTTTTTTTTTTTTCTTATAGTGTCTTTGTCTGGTGTTGGTATCAGACTAATACTGTGCTCATAGAATGTATTGGGAAGCTTTCCTTCCTCTTCCATTTTTTGGAATAGTTTAAAGAGAATAGGTATTAACTCTTCTTTAAATGTTTGGTAGAATTCACCTGCAAATCCATCTGGTCCTGGACTTTTGTTTGTTGGGAGTTTTTTTGATTGCTGATTCAATTTCATTACTAGTAATCAGTCTGTTCAGATTTTCTATTTCTTTTTCATTAGTTTTGGAAGATTGTATGTTTCTAGAAATTTATTGATTTCTTCAAGGTTGTCTAATTCGTTGGCATGTAATTTTTCATAGTAATCTCTTATAATCATTTTGTCAGTTCTCTTTCATTTCTGATTTTATTTATTTGGGTCCTCTCTTTTATCTTAATGAGTCTGGCTAAAAGTTTATCAATTTTGTTTATTTTTTTAAAGAACCAGCTCTTGGTTTCATTGGTATTTTCCTTTGGGGGGGGTATTTTCCTATTTTTTAAGACTTTATTTCATTTATTTCTACTCTGATCTTTATTATTTCCTTCTTTTAACTTTGGGCTTTGTTGTTGGGTTTTTTTTTAATTTTTTTTTTAATTTATTTATTTGACAGAGAAAGACAGCAATAGAGGGAACACAAGCAGAGGGAGTGGGAGAGGGAGAAGCAGACTCCCCGTGGAGCAGGGAGCCCGATGCAGGGCTCGATCCCAGGACCCTGGGATCATGACCTGAGCTGAAGGCAGATGCCCAATGACTGAGCCACCTAGACACCCCTCAATCTTCTTAAATGTAGAATTTAAAAAAAAATTTTTTTTTAATTTGAGAGAGAGAACAGGGGGAGGGGCAGAGAGAGGGAGAGGGGGAGAGAGAAAGACAGGGAAACAGAGAGAGAGAGATTTCCATGCTGAGCATGGAAGCTGACATGGGGCTCGATCTCACAACCCTGAGATCATGACCTGAGCCAAAATCAAGAGTCAGATGCTTAACCGACTGAACCACCCAAGCACCCCTTAAATGTTGTGTGGCCTAACAGGTGATCAATCCTGGAGAATGTTCATGTGCACCTGAAAAGAATGTGTGTTGCCTTGTTTTTGGATGGAAAGCTCTGTACCTGTCTGGGTTTTTTTTGTTTTTTTTTTTAAAGATTTTATTTATTTATTCATGAGAGACAGAGAGAGAGACAGAGGCAGAAGGAGAAGCAGGCTCCCCGCGGAGCAGGGAGCCCGATGCGGGACTCGATCCCAGGACCCTGGGATCATGACCTGAGCCGAAGGCAGACGCTTAACCGACTGAGCCACTCAGGCGTCCCCCTGCCTGGTTTTGTTTGTTTGTTTGTTTGTTTTATCTTAATTTGAGTCTATCTGGTCTAATGTGCCATTCAAAGACACTGTTTCCTTATTCATTTTCTGTCTGGATGATCTATCCATTAATGTAATTGGGGTGTTAGTCACCTACTATTATTGTATTACTGTCAATTTTGTTCTTTATGTCTGTTCATATTTGCTTTATGTATTTAGATGCTACAATATTGGGACCATAGATATTTATAACTATCATATTTTCTTGTTGGACTGATCCCCTCATCATTTTATAATGTCCTTCCTTGTCTATTATTAGTCTTTGTTTTAAAATCTGTTTTGTCTGATGTAGGTAAGTATTGCTACCTCGGCATCCCCCCACCCCCACCCCCCGCTGTTCACCCTCACCCCTGCTTCCATTTGCATGGCATATTTTTTTCCATCCCTTCATTTTCAGTCTGTGTCTTTAAGTCTGAACTGAGTATCTTGTAGACAGCATATAGATGGGTCTAGTCTTTTTTATCCATTCTGTCACCCTCTGTCTTTTGATTGGAGCATTTAGACCATTCAGATTTAAAGTAATTATTGACAAGTGTGTGCTTATTGCCATTTTGTTAAGTGTTTCCTATTGGTTTTTGTGACTTGCCAGCTATTGATGACTGCATAAAGCTGCCAGAGAACAGGTGTTTGTGTGGATCTATGTCTTCATTTCTCTCTCCCACATCCAACTTTCTTCAATACATATTTTATAGTGTTTTCATAATGAACTAGTGTTATTTATGTAATACAAATCAACAATGAGATACCACTTTCTGCCTTTCAAACCAGCAAGGATTTTTTTTTTTATTTTTTAATAACTGGAAGTCTGTACCTCTTAATTCCCTAAACCTATTTCACTTGTCCCCTCCCCTTCCTCTCCCTCCCCTCTGGCAACCACCAGTTTGTTCTCTGTTTATGAGGATGATTCTGGTTTTTTGTTCATTTGCTTTGCTTTTCAGATTTCATATATAAGTGAAATCATATGGTGTGTGTCTCTCTGACTTTTGCACCTAGCATAACACCCTCTAGGTCCATCCATGTTGTCACAAATAGCAAGATCTCATTCTGTGTTACGGTTAATATTCCATTTGTGTGTGTGTGTGTACATATACTTATATACACACAACTATATATACTCTGTATGTATATACGGATACACACACACATACATACACACACATCTTCTTTATCCATTCATCTATCAGTGGACCCTTGGGTTGCTTCCATAATTTGGCTATTACGTATAATGTTTCAGTAAACACAGGGGTATATATATCTTTTTGAATTAGTGTTTTCATTGTCTTTGTGTAAATACCCAGTAATGAAATTTGGTACTTCTATTTTTTAATCTCTTGAGGAACCTCCATACTGTTTTCCACAGTGGCTGCACCAGTTTACATTCCCACCAACAGTGAATGAGGGTTCCCTCTTCACATCTTTTTTTTTTTTTTTAAGATTTTATTTATTCATTTGACACAGAGAGAAAGAGAGCACAAGCAGGGAAAGCAGCAGGCAGAGGGAGAGAGAGAAGCAGGCTTCCCACTGAGGGGGGAGCCCGATGCGGGACTCGATCCCAGGACCCCGGGATCATGACCTGAGCTGAAGGCAGACACTTAACCAACTGAGCCACCCAGGCGCGCCTCCTCTTCTCCACACCTTCACCAACACTGACATCTTGTCTTTTTGATACTAGCCATTCTGACTGGTGTGAGGTGGTACCTCATCATGGTTTTGATTTGCATTTCCCTGATGATTATTGGTTTCATGTATCTGTTGGCCATCTCTGTGTCTTCTTTAGAAAAATGTATTTTCAGGCTCCCTGCCCATTTTTAAATCAGATTATTTGGGGTTTTTTGGTGTTGAGTTGCATAAGTTCTTTATATATTTTGGGTATTAACCCCTTGTCAGATAAATCATTTGCAAATATCTTCTCTCATTCAGTAAGTTGTCTTCTCATTTTGTTGATGGTTTCCTTTGCTGTGCAAAAGCTTTTTATTTTGGTGTAGTCTCAATAGTTTATTTTTTGCTTTTGTTTCCCTTGCCTGAGGAGACACACCCGTAAATATGTTACTAAGGCTGATGTTCAAGAGATTACTGCAAATCAGCAAGGATTTTTAAGGCAACGATACTCAGCTTTGTTGAGGGTACTGTGCATCATCTGTTTGGTCTTTTCAGAGGACAGTTTGGCATAATGGAGCAAGAAGCTTGATACATGTGTGCCTTTGGGTGGGTAATTTCACTTCTAGGAATTCAGCCGTTCAGCAGATGTTTGCTGACCTACCCAGTGTACTGAGCCCCCAGCAGGGTGCTGGGAAGCCCTTGGTGAGACAGAGGTTGTCCCCACCCCCAGAGCACCCTCAGCAGAGGCAGGACAGTTATCACTCAAGTGTCTATTCAGGGACAGGGTAAGAAGTTCTGCAAAGGAGCTCCTTTCCCGGCTTCTGAGTACCAGCCCTGTGCTGAGCAGCTGTGTGACCTTGGGCAAGTCCCTCTACCTCTCTGAGCCTGATGAAAGCTCTTCTGCATCAAAGTCTAAGGAGCTAAGAGCTGTAGAGGAGCTGCTCACAAGCCAGGCTTCCCTCTCCCTCAAAGCCCCAGGAGGTAGAGATGATGGTCGTAGAGCTCTGGGAATATACGAATACATTACATACTGCAGACAGTATTTATATAATTACATCTGATAATTCACATACTTTAGAAAGAGGATTTTCATAGTATGTGGATTGTATGTCAATAAATTCGCTATTTTAAAAAAAGGGTAATCTCTTAACAAGGGACCAACTCTGCTAAAAATGTTTTTCTGGTGGGAAATGAAAGCTTTATGAAAATTAGACTTCCAGAAACAAGGAAAAACCTCTAGGGGAGAAGGAGACTCTGTGGTTAACTTCAGAAAGGGGCGCAGACAGAAGTCTAGGTGACAAAGGAACCACTTGCTTCCCCCTCTGCAGCTGACCACTAACCTTTGCCACAGAGTAGTGCTGGGTATCCTGTGGTTAGTAGGAATGGGAGGCCCAGGGAGCGAAAAGCTCTTCCAAGCCCTGCTGGCTCCAACTGTAGCCACAGCTTCTCCGCACCCTCTGCCCATCGGTTGGTTATAATTTCAGATACCTGAAGCCAGATGTGGACAAGAAATCTAAACATAAGACAGCAGTAAAGAAGAAGACCCTGAACCCCGAGTTCAATGAGGTACAAGGGGCTGGTGAAGCTGCTGGGAAGCTGCTCGCTCTCCCCCAGGGCAGGGGGCCTGGGGGCGCTGAGTTTTCCAAGGGCTACTGTGGGAACTGAGGGGTAGGAGGGGCCCCCAGGAGAGCCCTCGGCCACGGGGGGTTGGGGGGGCAGGGGAGAGACAGGCCAGGCTGAACCAGGCCAAAGCGGTAAGGATGGAGGGGCAGGGAAGCCTGGAAAGCTCTTTCCAGGATCAAATTAATGGGACATGGCCGTGTAGGATGTGGAGGTGGAATGGGGGGAGCCCAACAGCAAGAGGGGAGGTACAAGTGAGGTGGGGGAAGCTCTGGGTGGGATGCAAGAATGTGAGATGCCCTGGGGCCTTGAGAAGGTCTGGTCCAGGTGGATAGCCAGGTCCTCAGCCCAGGGGGCAGATACATCTGGAGAGCAGCAGAGGGGCCTAGGGAAGAGCCTGAGTGACTGAGGAGCAGGCAGAGGAGACTAAGGAGATGCTTCCAGAGGGTGAAGGGGATACCAGATGTCAGATCATCCCAGGCGCCTGTGGGAGAGAGCGTTTCACAAAGAAGGGAGTGGTGAGCAGAGCAGACCCAAGAGAGGTCAAGCACACCAAGGCCAGCTCGTGTGTATTGATCTGGCAGTAAGGAAGCTCTTGGGGATCTGGAGAGAGCAGCTTCAGGGACAGAGGAGCAGGTAGGTTGGAGGGCAGGGGACCCTGAGGACCCCAGCCAGGCTCCAGGCAGAAGTGGGTAGAGTGGGTGAGAATCTGCCCTCGTCCACCCCCGAGCACTGACCACCCTCCCATTCCTCCCTCCCTCCCTCCCCCCTCACCACACCCCTCACCACACCTCAGAGCCTTCCTGGCCACTGGCCAAGTTCCAGGCCCTGTGGCCTTGGCCCTGACTCTCTTCTTCTGGCCACCAGGAATTCTGTTATGAGATTAAGCATGGGGACCTGGCGAAGAAGACTCTGGAAGTTACTGTTTGGGATTATGACATTGGAAAATCCAACGATTTCATTGGTAAGAGCACACAATGAGAATGCCGTTTGGCCACATGGCCCTGAATCCAGGCCACAGCCCCTCCTTCCTGGCCTCTATGGCCCCAGCTTTCCCCAGACTGTCTGCCCTCAGACACAGGGGGGCTCAGACCTTACCCAGCCTGACTCCATGTGACAGAGGAGTAGACAGGCCCAGAGAGGGAGAGAGGCCTGGGAGGGCCACACAGCAGTCTTGGTGGGGCAGGGGTGCGAGGTGATGATGGTCAGTGCTTTGGGCTGGCCTCTGAGCCCTGTGGCCCCGAACTCCTGGTCGGCTTCATGGCTGTGCAGAGTAGAACTGCGCCCATCCCTCGGCCCCCGACGCATGACGTTGCCCTTCACCCCCCGCCTCGCTGCGGTGCTGGAGAGGGGAAGGACGGGATCCCAGGGCCCTGATCGGCCGGGGGCAGGAGGGCCGGCTAAGAGTGCGGTGTGGTTGGCAGACCACTGCCCAGCTTCAGAGCCCGGTGGGCGGGGTGGGGAGAAGAGCCTTGGAGCACAGAATCGGGAGGGGGTGGCCTTGGGGTAGGGGCACCTGCCTCCAGGCCCCCGGGAGTCACCGTGTCCCCGGCCACCCCCCTGGCTCCCTTCCCGCAGGCGGTGTGGTTCTGGGCATCAATGCTAAGGGCGAGCGCCTGAAGCACTGGTTTGACTGCCTAAAAAACAAGGACAAGCGGATCGAGCGCTGGCACACACTCACCAACGAGCTCCCGGGGGCCGTGCTCAGCGACTGACCAGCCCCCACCTGCCGCCGCACCCACCCCTGCCTGTCTCCTGGCCCAGCACCGGCCTGGCCCTGGGCCTCCTCAGCTGCCACCAAGGGCCTCGGCCCTCATCTTAGGGGAGATCCAGGATGCCCGCTCGGACACTGCGCCACGGCGGCCCCTGCTCGGAGGCTGAGGGGGGCTCCGCCGCTCCGGGGACAGCAAGGCCAGAGAGCTGGGCCTGCTCTCAGCCCCTGGGGCCCAAGAAGGCGGGGCGGGGAGAGGACCTTGGCCTCGGCGCCCACCCCAGGGAAGGGAATGGGGCCGTCCGGGGGCTGAGGGCCCTACTGGAGGTCAGCAGTAAGTCAGGGGGACCCCAGGCTGAGAGGACAGGAGTGGAGGGGCACCTTGGCAGGGCCAGTGAGAACTCCCGAGAGGGACATTAGGGAGCGGGGCGTGGGGGGAAGGAGATTTGGGAAAGTATTCCCAAAAAGGAGGTTCTTACTAAATCCGTTCATCTCTGGCATTACTGGGCGGGTGGAAAAAAGCTGACCCGAGAGCAAGGAGCGAGGTGAAGTTCCTACAGGCTCTCACTGAACATGGGCAATTGGCAAGCACTTCACTCAATGATTCCACAAGCCCTTGGAGATGAATGAGACCCAGGGCTTGCCCTCTGAGAGTTCCTTGTCTAATCAAGGAGCTAAGAACAAACCATTACAACAGGGAGGGAGGAATGCCAAGGCCGGGCTGACATACCTTTGAGAGCCATGGACTCTGACTCTACTGGGAGGCAGGGAGGGCTTCCCGGAGGAGGTGATGCTTCAGCAAGGCCTTGAAGGGTGAATGGAGTTTCTGGGCAGACAAAGGGGAAGGGCAATGTGTGCAGTGGGAATGATCTATAAAAGCCTAGAGGGGAGGGTATGGTGATTGGGCTAGGGTCGCTGTGCAAGACCTGGGGTCTCTGGAGACAGGGTGTGTTAGGACAGGAGTGGGGCCTAGAGGTGATGTCACCCACCCCTGCTTCCACCCCACCCCTGCCTGCCAGGCCAGCCCCAGCTCATAGCTTTGGGGGAAGTGATGGAAGCACTGTGGTGAAACTGATCTTGGGGCAGGGTCTAGTTCAGCCCTCAGACCCAGTTCTCCCCACTTTAATCTTTCTCCTCCCAAGGAACCTGGCTCTCATTCTTACCAGCTTAAGCATGAGGTCAGCTGTAATCAAGAAAAGGGTCCCCCCCTTTTTTTTTCATGAAGCAAAAAGTCCTCATCTTCACCCACTTCTTCCTTTCACCCACCCCCCACTTCTGAGTCCAGGCCTGGGGAGTGAGGGGTCCAGGTGAACGCCCACACATCCTGGCCTTACTGTGGCCACTGATGTCCCTTTCAGGAGTGCTGGGTGGCAGTCCAGGGCCTCCTTTCTGAGGGGCCTGTGAGGCTGGCTCCTACCTCCAAGGGCTGAGAGAGACACCCTGCCTGGTGGGCCTGGCACCCTGAGTCAAATTGAGGGCATCGCAATTTGGGGGCCCACGTGTGAAGTCCCAAGTTTCTCCTGCCTACGAAGGGGCCTTCAAGACTGCTGTATGAACAAATGCAGAGCCAGGGAATTTGTGTGTTTGCCCCAGCACTGCACTAACGGAAAACAGAGGCCCAGAGAGGGAAGGTGACGAGCCTGAGTGAGGCCTCCCTGCCCTGCCACAGCTGGGGTAGGCCAGGCTCCCTGGCCCCTGCCTCACCCCCGGCCCAGAGCTCTGGACAGCATGCTTCAAGAGAAGGAGGTCCGTCCTGTTAGCTTCCTGCCTGGGGCTCAGCCCTGCCTGCTGCAGACACAAAGCACATCACCATCTGAGGCCTAGGGTGATGATTCGAATTCCACCAAGTGCCCATCAGCCCTTTCCCGGTCTGCAGGGACAACAGGACTCTGGCCCCCACACAGTACCTGGCAACTTGGCTGGTCACAGAGCCTTGGTTTTCCTGTCTTTGAAGCGGCTTTGTGTATGTTAAGGGTTTTTACATGCACTGTCTTAATGAATTTTCACAATTCTGTGAGGTGGGTTTGTCATCTTCATTTGACAGATGAAGAAACAGATTCAGAGAGGCTGAGTAGTCTGTCAATGTCACACGGCAGGGCAAGGGCAAACCAGGACTCAGCCCAGGTCCTGTGACTGCCACATCCTCTGATTGTCTGGGAGATAGTACTCCCCAGTCCTCTCCTTCCTGGGCTGTGGAGGGCTCAGCAGATACACTCAGAAGACTCGGGAAGCTCTGGTGCCTGATGAAGGGGTGGGACCACAGCACTGTCCTGCTGCCTCATCCCCTAGATGGCTTTGAAATCATTGATCCACTTAGAACTTCCCCAGAGGTCCCCAGGGTCCAGGCCCGGAACTCAGCTATCCCTCCCTAACCTCTGAGTCCGTGGGCCAGACCTTCCTCCTCGTGGGGGCTGAGGCAAGGGCTCCTCTTTTCTCCACAGGGCTGGAATGGGGGAAACCTGGGGGACTAAGGAAAGAGATGGCCTATTTTTGAGGGGCCTCCTGGCTGGGTGAGCCCTGGGTATCTTCCAGCTTTGCCTCTTGGAGGGCCTCAGGAAAGGAGCTGCAGAGCTGCTCTGTGAAGATACTGAAATGCTGAAGGGCAAGGCTAGAAGGGGCCGTGAGTCTGACCCAATACAACGTCCTTGTTAGACACCAGGGAAACTGAGGCCCAGCGAGTGTAAGGAGCCCATTTAGGGCTCTCTACTGCCCCAGGTTGTGCAAGGGTAGACTTGGTCCCAGCTGACCCCAGGGACAGGATGGAAGATGGGTCTTCTGGACAACCAGCCCAAGTGGGGGGTGGGGCGCCTAGGGAGGAGGGCCCCCCAGGGAGTGAGGAACTCTTCGCCAGGGCCAGGCACTGCTCCTGACCCCTCGCGGATTGGATTTCTGTGACAGCTCTTTCGGAAGCTGCAGTCATCCGCTCCGCCTTCGACCTCAGACTGGCATCCCTCCTCTGGCCGGTCAGCCGCACAAATAGACGGGAACGTTGACGCCCCTCCCCCACCACGGCCAAAAGCCATTCCCGAGTCTGGTGTCTGTAACCAGGAAGTCGCCCGACGGCGCGCTGCGCCCTCCACGCCCGCCTCCCGCCGCCCCCACTGGCCAATCCCAGACGGGCCCGCCTTCCACCCCCGAAGCGGGGACCGCCTGGCCCCTAGCGGCGAGAGCGGGAACTGCGCCTCCCGGCCCGTGCATGTCCTTCCGTTTGCTCGTTCTCACAGCGGGACCCCGATGCATGGACTCTGGCTGTCGTCGACGCGGACGCTCGCGCACTGCTTACCACCGTTTTGCTACCATGTGGCGGCTGCACAACACGTCCTTAACCTGCAGCCCCACACTCGATTTTTGTACTTTCGTCTTACCTACTCGAGGGTGTCCTTTTTAAGTCTTATTTGTTAATATTTATAATGACCTATAATTCAAAGTAAATGAAAACGTTCACTGCAATCGCGTTGGCTTGAAAGACTCCTTCAAATAGATTTGGACGAAAGGCCCGGAAAGAACGGGAGACTGGCAACCGAGGCGCACTCAGCACACTGTCTCCCTTAACGCTTCACCAAGAACTCATTAGCGGCAGGTCTCGAGTTACCGGTGGGAAAACGAAGGCTCAGACAGGTTAAATATTTGTGCCGAATCACACACCTGGTAAGTGACACAACCAGGATCCAACTAATGCCCCCCAAGACATTGTATGCCAGGATCAGCATGCCATGCTGCCATGCACTCATTCAACAAACAGCTGTGGAGTATTCACTCTACCACCAGGCACGGGTCTAGGCACCTGGGGCAGAGTCATCAGCAAGACAGCCAACAGACAGCAAATCTAGCATGTTAAAAGATGGCAATAGGGGCACCTGGCTGGCTCCATCGGTGGAGCATGTGACTGGATCTCTGGCTCATGGGTCTGAGCCCCACACTGGGGGTAGAGATTACTTTAAAAAAAAAGACAAAGGAATTAGCTGTGGGGGGGTTGGGCTTAAATAGGTAGGTGAGGGGGACCTCCAAAGAAAGTGACTTTCGATCTAAGACTCAGAGGGGATGAGGGAGGGAGCTATGCAGATACCTGGAATGGACTGTTTAGGTGGGGGAGATGGCCAGTATCCCTAGTGATGGGGGCAGGTGTGGCATGACTGAGAATAGCAAGAGCCGGGTGGGGCAAGGGAAGAGCCCTAAATAGGGGCACAGAACAGGGGACCAGGTCAAGTAGGACTTTATAAAGACTGGTTTTCACTCTGTGTGAGATGGGAGCTTATTTCAGTTGTAACAGGCCACCTGGTAGAGGACAAACCTATAGTCTCCCCTCTTAGACATTCCACCACCAGTGAAGGCAGCAAACCCCGCACGAGCCCAGAGCGCTAAGGGAGGGGAAAAAGATCATTTGAGGCAAGGCAATTAGTTCTTGCGCTATTTCAGCAGGAAGGGAGTCCTTAAGGACTCTAAGAAAATAATAGGAACCAGAGAGAAGGTGCCAGAACTATCAGCAGTAGTAACACCCATATAGAGCTCTCAGACATGTACACTGCTTTAAGTATTATACTCATTTATTCCTCATAATTATGATACTGTTTCAGTCCCCATTTTATAGATGGGAAAACTGAGGAACAGAGGAGCATGCTTAAGGAATAATTAAAGGGTAGAGCTGGGATTTGGACCCAAGCCTTGTGGCTCCAGAATCCATACTCTTAATATCTACCCTATGCTGCTATAAGAAGCAAATGGTGTTGCCAGGTCTAGTGGAAGATGCCCAGGTCCCACTAGGTTTCTTGTAGGTTCACCCTTTTCATCCCCCAAGCTCCCAGAACCAGCAGGCTCCTGCTCAGCCAGGAAAGATTTTCCAGGGCTGACTCTCAGGGTCCTTGCTGTCATCTTGACCAAAGGCGATGCTCACCTTTGCCCAGTGGGTTCCTATCTGTCACGGTCCCCAATTCCCTTCTGTGTGTCCCCTGGCCACAGGTAGGCGCGATCTCTTATCTGGAGAACATGTTGAACTGGGGAGCACTTGTGTGGCTTCCCAGGGGCTAGCTGTGAGCCAGTGGAATTACTACATTATGAGAATCAGAAAACTGGGAAACCAAGATCTCTCAGAGCTTCCTGGGTTGTCTTCACTGCTCTACACCTTCCTCCATCCTGCCTCTGTCAACACAGGCTTTCTGATTCATTAGTAGATAAATGATCCAAAATGGTGGCCTCAGCCCCAAGTTGGGGTGGCTTTTCAGCCACTGCTACCTTGGAATATTTTCTGACTCTTATTTAGCTTCTCAGGAGAGAAATGGCTCAGTTCAGATTGTAACTCACCTCCTTGGGGTCAAAGGGCCAGGGGGTGAGGTCACACAATAAAACCATGGCTATGGGCAAGGCACACAGGGTCAAGCGTGTCTTTCAAAAGAAGTCCCTGAGCCAGTGGGAAAGGAGGAAGAGGTGCCAGCCAAGGGAAGAAAAGGGGACAAAAGCCAAAAAGCATCGCCATAGTATTCTAGGGCAGTAACCATTCGAAAAGCAAAGACTGGTAAACAACCAAAACACTACAGAAACAAGGAATGGACCTAACTTCCATTATGGCCCATCTGAAGGCTAGAAAGTCATGTAGTCATTTCCATTTTTAATTTATAAACATGATGAGATGTCTTGGAAATGTATGATAGAAAGTGAAGGGAACAAAAGAATTAAAATTGAGTGTGGAGGGCAATCCTTTTCAATTATTTCATTGTGGAAAACATTACTTCGTTGTGGTAAAATATAAATAAAATTTTTCATTTTAGGATGTGAGGGCAATCTCGCTGTGACATCTGTCACCCTACTGATCACCAAGGTTGACTCAGCTGATCTGGCTGCCTAGGCAGGTGTCTCCTTCCTTCTCCACCACTCCATGCATGTCCCTCCGAAGCTGTGTGCCCCAAGAGGACAACCTTCCCCGATGGAGGAGGACCGTTTTTCAGTCAAGGGTATATGAGTAGCTGCCCTCACCTGCTAGAATCTCGAAACCAGCTTTCAAGGTCCATTTGTAGGAAAACGTAGGGCAGTCAGCTTCCAAGACTCTAGGCACAACAAAATGAGGCACTGCATGTGGCAGTCTGCCTTTCTTCAGGAAAAAAAAATCACTTTAGCCATTTTTAAGTTGACAATTCACTTGCATTAAGTACATTCATAATCTGGTGCAACCATCTCAACTATTTCTAGAAGTTTTTCATCATCCCAGACAGACACTCTGTGCTCATTAAACAATAGAACTCCCCATTTCCCCCACACTCAGCCCCTGGTATCCTCTATTTTACTGTCTTTAGGAAGTGCCTATTCTAGGGCGCCTGGGTGGCTCAGTCGGTTAAGCGACTGCCTTCGGCTCAGGTCATGATCCTGGAGTCCC